CTTTTAACTTTTGCTGCTTCCATGATAAGCTCAAATGTAGTGTCGGTATCTTTCATGAACCTCCAGCATATCGCTTTGCAGTATCTACCGAAAAGCAGAGAAAAAGAATTTTTGAGAAATTGCAGACCTTTCCGACAACTTTTGTAGAAGATCTTTCTTACAAGGCAAGTTTCAACCTGCAGTCATACTTTGTGTGGTGAAAATTCACCATCAAAGGAATCTATGAGCAATTTATGCAGGAATTATGTGTAGTCTCAAGAAACGAGGGCATGGCGGGACTGTGGGTTTACCTAGTTCAAAAACCTTACTTGTAATAAAAAAAAGAAGCTGAAGTGCTTGTGCAATTCTTATTTACATTTCAGAACTCATAGTTCCTCCTTTGCCCCTTCCCCTCCTCCTTCCTTCCCAAGGATTTTTTTTGTATCTGATGCTAATATGTCGCCATTCGTGTCAACGCGTTGTTATTGTAGTATACAAGTTCGCTTCGTAGGTTTTTTGAAACATATTGATCAATTAAGCTCTAACTGCAGGCAATAATTCCTGGCTTCTATTCTCCAAACACTTATTAGTGTTGGGGCACGGCTGGTAAGGATTGTCGACTATGATCATGGTTTATTAATAAAGAAACGTCCCGTTTCAGGTAGCGGCACTATAATTCTTGTGTTGCTTTCCAGGTAATTTTTCCTGAGAATGATACTCACGTTGCCTTGCCCTCTCGCAAGTTGGTTTACTTCCCGTTAGTTGTTTTTCGACTTCCCTCCTCCTCCGCCTCCCTCCTTTTCTTCGGAATAATCCAGCACCTAATATTTTAGCATTGATAAAGGCATCTAGAGTGAGTAGCGAAGTATTCAAGGACAGATTTGGTGTCTTTGTGACAATGTTTATTAGAATTTCTGTAACGAAATGATTTAATATCATACAAAAAGGAAGGCTGCTTTTGCTTCATTATACTTTAATTTTAGTCTCACATTTGCAATGTTCTATATTCTGCTTATTCGCAGTTCAAGAAACTAGGCTGATCTATTGAGTTCTGCAATCATAATACTGATTAGAAAATTGCTCTAAGGTTCCCAATCAAAGAGAGCACCTTCTAGAGTGCTC